AATAAAGGTAAGAAAAGGTGGGGAGGGAGATTGGCACTAGCCAAGAAGAGAAATTAAATTTAAATGAACCAGAGTGTATATTTCATAGTTTATCTCTTGTTTCCTAACAGATTCCGTGACCTTCAGGAAGTTTAAGTCCTCTGAGCCTGTTTCCACATCCACAAACTGAAGATGGAAGCGTAGCTATTTTAGAGGACTTTGCAGAGGACAGTGAGCACCCATCAGACCCTACTCCTATTAGTACTAAACTCTGCAGGTTCTCTGCTATTTCCAGGCCCTTGATAACCAGGCATTATCTCTTAATTTTCCACTTTAAGGACTACTGAAACTTTTTAGTTTATTTACCTTGGTCTATTCTATAAACTAAAGATTTGTTTTTATTCAGATTTTCTCACTGGGTTAGCCCTCCATTTTCTTTTAAAAATACTATTTTCTTGGGGGTCCTGGGTGGCTCAGTCGGTTAAGCGTCTGACTCTTGGTTTCGGCTCAGGTCATGATCTCAGGGTCCTGAGACTGAACCCCACAATGGGCTCTGAGCTCAGCATGAGTCTGTTGGAGATTCTCTCTGGCCCTCCCTCCTGCACTCTCTCTAAAATAAATAAAATCTTCTAAAAAATTTTTAAATAAAATACTATTTTCTTTATTTAAATTACTCAACTATTATAAGAACTTGTGGGAAAAAAAAGAAATCCTACATTACAAGCATTATTTTTCCCCAAAGGATCCCACCCTCATGCCCATTCTTACTTTCAGAGGTAAACACTGCTATTAGTTTGGGGATTTTAAAATATTATGCATTATTTTTGGTGTATTAAATCTTAATTTTTTCCTTTCCTGTTTTACTTGATGCCCCTTCCTTCTTCCACAGAAAGAAGGAATTCTTATTCTCATGTAATCCCATATAGGAGTATGATACATAAAATTATATTTAGAGCATTCTGGTCATTGTTTTATATAGTTAAGAGCATGTTAGTGCTCTTTTTCTTGCATCTTCATCTGAATCAGCAATATCTCAGGCAAATACTTCTTGTGCAGATTAATTATTAGTCCATTTTCTATCGAGGAACTAAATTTTTTCTCCATCTTTGGCTACTACAAACATTGTAACAATAAAAGTTCTTGTTCCTATGCCTTTATATACTGAAAATTTTATTTCATCAGGTAGATTTACATGAATAATATTGTTAGGTAGATAAATATATGTGTATTTTCAAAAATTAACTGTCCTATTTATTTATAAAAATCTAGTGATACTTTACATTTCTACCCATAATTTGTGAGAGTAGCCTTTTCCCTTAAGCAAGATTAGGAAGAGGAGTTCCTGCTGTTACAGTTTTTTTTTCAATCCAGTAAGTGACTTATTATTACCTCAACGTATTTATCTGATTGTTTGGGAATTTAAAATCTTCTCATACAGATTTGCTATTCTGAGTTGTATGTTCAAATTATTTGGTATTTTTTCTATTGTGTTATTTGTATGTTTCCTTGGGCTTCGTAAAAATTTTTTTATAAGTATAAACTTTTCATAATTATAAATATATTTTAAAAATGTGTCTACTCTCATAATTATAACTATATTTTAATCCTTAATGTGTCTACTCATCTGAAAAATTGATATGGAGCTACTTAGTAGAACATATAAAAATAAATCCTGGATAGAAGACATTATAGAAAAATATAAATCATTTTTTAAAATCTTGCAAAAACAAATGTACAAAACCATACTAAACAGAGGGAGACCTTCTTCACTAAGTCTAGAAATGCAAAAATCTTTTCTCTTTTTAGTTTCAAGTTTTTATTTAAGTTCCAGTTAGTTAACATACAGTGTAATATTAGTTGTAGGTGAAAAAAAAAATTAGTTTCAGGTGTAGAATTTAGTGATTCATCACTTAGATACAACACCCACTGCAAAAATCTGTGAAAGAAAAGATAGAAATATTTGGGTATATGATAAATAAAACTGCTTTATGTAAATCAAGGCAATAAAAGCATTTCTATGGTAGATTAAATGGAATCTGTTTCATTGTATAAAAACTGATCGCAGAATTTCGGAGCAAATGGACAGTTTTCTTTTCCATGTGGCTTCACAGCACTCACTTAGCAGCTTACAAGAGGAAATTAACTCCCAATTTGATGGCACAAAACTCAAGTCTTATCTGATAAGGTATTTTCATCCCTATTGCCATTCCCTTTCATCTTGGAAAAAGCTAAGGAGACAGTCTCCAGAGAAAGGGTAATGTTCGAGCAAATCCAAGCAAAAAATGGAACTGGCTTCCGTGAGGTCTTCCTTTCTGCCCATTAGCTATCAGGGTCAATTACTATATAGCGCAGAACAGGGTTGCCTTCCCTTATAAATCAGAACACACACCAACACGATTTAATAAAGACAATTCCCTGTCCTCATTTATGTTGCAAATCTGGCAAGAATTCTGAAAACAGTAGTCAACGCCTTAATACTTTGCATTGGGATGCCACACGTTCTGGTTGTCTGCAATATTTTTTCCCTATTCTTAGATTTTCTGAGTTAATCCCGGATGGAGATCTCATAATTTGCCACTGGAAAAGGGGAACAAGGAGTTGGACAAACTTCGTCATATCCACTTTACAATTGAAGAGCTTATGAAGAGCTTGATTCAGCGTGTGCCTACTTGGTCTTATTTGAAATCAAAGCTTTTTGGACAATGCTTAATATAGAGGTATGCAAAACACTTTTCTGAAAATTATTCTATAAAACATGCTGAAATGTCGGTGTTCTACAAACTCATCTTATGGGCTTTATCATTATATCACAAAAATCTGACTAAGCCTCCATTTCTTCATTCCATTTATTCGCTGATAATGCTACTTTGCATGTGTTTGTTACCTCTCTGGAAAACTAAGACTTTGGGGCAGAGCAGTCCTTGGTTCTAATCCTCAATCTGCTATGTACAAGCTCAGGAAAAGAACTCCTCTGAGCTTCCTAATTTGTGTTTCTCCCTGAGTCAGTCTTTCATGAAATGAGAGGGGAGGGGAATGACCAACTTTCCTCTCTAAGCCAAACTGCAGTGTTGTGTGAATAAATCACTATTATTTATCCTCACACTCCAGTAGCAAGACGGAGGTTCAGTGCAGTATATAAAAGCTTTTTGTACACTCACAGAGGCATGATAACTTGAGGAAACTTAGATCCCAACAGTTTCTATGTTACATGGAAAACAGAAAATGCCCGTGTTGCAAATTAAATTACTTTCTAAAACCACTGAGTAGCCGTCCAGTTGTGCAGTGACTGTGACAGGATCTGAACGACAACTCTTGTTGATGGGGTTTTGGAATATAGGTGAGGTTCGGGGGGGTGAGGTCCAGGGCCCACGACCAAGAAGGAATTTTTGAGACGCCTCTGGTGCAAAATGGTGGTTTTAGTAAAGCCTGGGGACAGGACCCGTGGGCAGAAAGAGCTGCTGCCCCAGGGTTGGGAGGGGAGGCTGATTATATACTGTGAGGCTGGGGGAGGTGAGGCAAAGGGAGGTTTCGAGAAAGTTTTCATATGTTAAAGAAGATTCACAGGAAACCGGAGGCCTTGCCTTTGTCAAGTTAAGGTTGCTTTTCCCTCTAGCAAGGCATTAACCTGAAGATAGTTGAGAGATTCCTGGAGGAACATTACACTCTGCCCGCTTAAAGTTTCTGTCCATGGGCTGCAGATTATGAGGACATTTAATTCTATCTACATTCTCTTCTGGAAGCTAGGCCGTTGATAGAAATGCTTTGTTCTTGTAGATTGCTAAGACATTTGTAAACTGAGGGACACTCAGGTCTTGCAGGATTGTGATCTCTACAAGTTAACCATTTGTTTTTCCTTTCCTTAGCTTTAGGGCAGCCAGGAGTTCGAGAGGAATGTCACATAGATCCCATGGGGGGGTGTTGTGGGGTGTCCCCTTCTGCTTTGTCCTCAGCTTGCCTTCTGTTCCATCACTGTCACCTTTCTTTTCTTCAAAGATTTATTTTAGTCAAGAGAGCCTGCATGAGCGGGGGAGGGGCAGAGGGAGAGGAAGAAGCAGACTCCCCACTGAGCGCAGAGCCCATCCTGGGGCTCCATCTCAGGACCCTGAGATCACGACCCGAGCCGAAATCAAGAGTCAAGATGCTTAACCCAACCGAGCCACCCAGGCACCCATCTGGTCACCTTTCTTATTTCAATGCTTTTTCCATAGTCACAGCTTAAAAAAGATTTCCAAGACTTTGTTGAACCTCATCATTCTGAATCCCCGAAGGTCAGTCACAGAGTGAGAAAATCCAGCATTTAGCCGGGGATGTAACATCAACCAATACACAGGCGAGCAGGTGGTAATAGCTTGTATTTATCTCAGCAAAATCAATGGAAATATCCTGAGTTATGTATAGAGAAATGCTCTGTAAGTTCAAACAGCCCTTTCAACTGCTGCTTTTAAAAAAAAAAGCCTCACTTTTCCTTACCTATGGTTGACCTCTTTTGTGTCTCACACTGTTTAAATATGTTCCTATTAAGATATTTACCTCTTAAATTTTGCCTTTCTTTTATCTATCTTTCCTTCTTTCTTCTCTTTCTTCTTTCTTTCTTTCTCCTTCCTCCTTTCTTTTCTTTCTTTCTTTTCTTTTCTTTTCTTTCCTTTCCTTTTCTTTTCTTTTTCTTTCAAGTAAGCTCCACCCCTGTGGAGCCCAATGCAGAGCTTGAATTCACAACCCTGGGATTAAGACCTGAGATGAGATCAAGAGTCTGATGCTTAACTGCCTGAACCACCCAGGTGCTGCTGGGCTTTCATTTTTGATGTGCTGATACAGATATAGAAAGATAAAATTGTAGAAATACCTAAGTAATTATGAATATTTCCAACTACATATTTTTCACATTACAAGCAATCTCTGTTCTGTAAATATCTTCAAACAGATAGTAAAGTGTTATAAATAAGTGAAATAGTCAGTAAATATGTGTTCATTGATTTCCTGAATTTTTGTATTTCAGGAAACGAAGAGTCGAACCATTGATCATGAGCCAGGTGAATGAGAGCGTCCCACAGGAGTTCATCCTCAGGTTTTTCAGATCAACCATGGCTGGAGCTCCTGCTTTTTGTGGTCTTCTTCATTTCTTACATTGTGACTATCTTTGGGGATCTGACCATTATTCTATTTTTTTTTAAAGATTTTATTTATTTATTCATGAGAGACAGAGAGACAGAGAGAGAGAGAGAGGCAGAGGGAGAAGCAGGCTCCCAAGGAGCAGGAACCCCAATGCGGGGCTCAATCCCAGGACCCTGAGATCATGACCTGAGCCGAAGGCAGATGCTCAACCATCTGAGCCACCCAGGTGCCCTGACCATCATTCTAGTGTCACTCCTGGACCCCAAACTCCATACCATGTACTTTTTTCTTACCAGTCTGTCGCTCCTGGACCTTTGCTACACCACAAGTATGGTTCCCCAGATGTTGGTAAATTTATACAGCACCAGGGAAGTGATTCGTTATGGCGGCTGTGTGGCCCAGCTCTTCATGTGTCTAGCCTTGGGGGCCACCGAATGTCTTCTCTTGGCCGTCATGTCCTTTGATAGGTTTGTAGCTATTTGTCGGCCTCTCCATTACTCAGCTATCATGCACCAAAGGCTCTGCCTTCAGCTGGCAGCTGCATCCTGGATTACTGGTTTTAGCAACTCAGTGTGGTTGTCTACCCTGACTCTCCAGCTGCCGCTCTGTGGCCCCCATGTAGTAGATCACTTTCTCTGTGAAGTTTCGGCTCTACTCAAGCTGTCCTGTGTAGACACAACAACAAACGAGGCTGAACTGTTCTTTGTAAGTGTGCTGTTCCATCTGATACCCCTGACGCTCATCCTTATATCATATGCTTTTATTGCCCAAGCAGTGTTGAGAATCCAATCTGCTGAAGGTAGACAAAAAGCATTTGGCACATGTGGCTCCCATCTGATCGCGGTGTCACTCTTGTATGGTACAGCTATCTCCATGTACCTCAACCACCATCACCCAACTCCAAGGACCGGGGAAAGATGGTGTCCCTCTTCTATGGGATCATCGCACCCATGCTGAACCCCGTTATATACACACTTAGGAATAAAGATGTAAAGGAGGCATTTAAAAGGTTAGTTGCAAGAGTCTTCTTAGTCAAGAAATAAGGGACACGAAAATGATCAGGTTTAGAAGCACTTAATATTCACTTGGCTCACTAACTTAATTCTCTTTAAGTTGCCCTGTTTTCATCATTCCAACACAGAAACTATTGTGATGATCTCCTTCAAATAAAATGTCATCAACAGAAAGCTACAATAAGTTCTGTTGCCTAAACACACTCATTGAACAAGTACCCAGGATGAGGCTTCCAGCTGACCAGAAAGTGTGTGACTTCAACATCTTCAAACTTTACATCAATGTTTGTGTCATTTGCTGAACTTAGGCCTGAGAAGGTGGTAAAAGCCAGAAATCCTGGCTCTGGTAATGTCACAAGTATACACACAACTATTTTTTCTCCACATAATTAAAGGAGGTTTACTGAAACCCTGAAAAACAACCACTTTAAAGTTGGATCTGAGGTTTACAACCCTAGCTTTCAATTTTCACTACCACTCCCACATCAGCATGATAATAGAAATCACAATAATCTTTCTTCTAGAATTACACCCAGATTTCCATTCTCTTGCCATATTCTTGTACTCATGTTTTCCTCCTAAATGAAAGCATCCCTTTTTATTTCCTTTATAGATCAAATCCTAGGTATTATCGGGCCTACCTAATTTTTACTTCTCTGAAATCTTTCTTCAAAATTCTCCCAATTATCAATACTGTTATTATCTCTTAAGCCCCACAACACTTAGAGCCTAGATTTTAAAATAGTATGTTGTGTCATGATTTCCAATGATTTCTTGTTTCATACACTTGGCTTGCACAACAACCATCTCATTGCATGTTCATCTCCTTGAGAGAACACAGACTAGATCTACAGTTCATCATGTCTCCTTTAGAAGTTCATCAACATGCTAGGGAAATAGCACGTGCTTACATTATCAGTTGGATTTTTTGGTGTTGAGTGATTCATTCACTTTACAGTTATTTAATTGTGTTGCTTTTCTCCCTTGCTTTCTTCCACCAATACATTATACATATAGGGAATACAAACTGAAAAATACATTTGTCATGTTTCTCCTTAAAACCTGCAGTAACACCATATATTTTTGCCATAATATAATGCTAACTGATGAGAGAAATAAACCTGATTTGCCAAGTTCCAATTTCAGTTCTCTCTTTCCTGCTAGAAATAAGTATCATTAAAAGAGTAAATGGAAGCAAAATACTAAGAGTATATTGAAAACATAATACTTTCCTCAGTGAAAATTAATTCACTGCTAAAAGTCCTAATAAATGCATATTAAATAACTAGAAGCAAATGTGTGTTTCAAAGCCAGTGAAACTTGGTAAATTATGAGGACATAGAAAAGAAATCAAAATTGAAATAGTTTTTTGTTTAAAGATTTTATTTATTTATTTGACAGAGAGAGAGACACAGCAAGAGAGGGAACACCAGCAGGGGGAGTGGGAGGGGGAGAAGCAGGCTCCCGCTGAGCAGGGAGCCCGATGTGGGATTCGATCCCAGGACCCCGTGATCATGACCTAAGCCAAAGGCAGACGCTTAACGACTGAGCCACCCAGGCGCCCCAAAATAGTTTTAATTTAATTTAATTTTTTAAAAAGATTTTATTTATTTATTTGAGAGAGAGAATGAGAGAGAGCACATGAGACGGGGGAGGGTCAGAGGACGAAGCAGACTCCCTGCCGAGCAGGGAGCCCGATGCGGGACTCGATCCCGGGGCTCCAGGATCATGACCTGAGCCGAAGGCAGTCGCTTAACCAACTGAGCCACCCAGGCGCCCTACTTTTTAATTTTAAATGAAGGATTAGTTGATTCATGTTATACTGGTAGATTTGATTTTATCTTGGCATATAATTTTATACTGGTAGAAAATGATTTATAGGGAAATTCTATAAGCTATTATCAGTTACTTTGTGATTATTAAAAATATATAAATCCTTTATGTGTATTCATTTAGAATATAGATTCATTTAGAATAAGACATAAAAACTGACTTCATTTCTTTCTTTTTTTTTTTGCAATTCTGAGAAATTAATTTTTGTAATCCAAACCATTTTTAAGGAAAATGTATTTTGGTGTTTTGTTTGTTTTCTTTTTTATTTGAGTATAGTAGTTGACACACAATGTTACATAGTTTCACGTGTACAACCTAGTGATTTGGCAAGTTTATACATCGTGCTATGTTCACCATAATGTAGCTACCATCTGTCCCAGTATCTGGTCATTAGAGTATCGTTGACTGTATTCCTTAGGCTCTGCTTTATATTCCCATGACTTACTCCCTCCATTACTGGAGGCCTCTATTTCCCTCTCCCCTTCTCCCATTTTGCCCAACCCCTGGCCCCTGCCCTCTGGCAACCAGCAGGTTGTTCTCTGTATTCATATTTCCAATTCTGCTTTTTATTTGTTTATTCAATTTTAAGATTCCGTTCATGAATGTAATCATATGGTATTTGTCTTTCTCAGCCTGATTTATTTCATCTAGCATAATACCCTTCAGGTCCACCCATATTGCATTGAATGGCACGATCTCATCTTTTTTTATGACTGTGTAATATTCCATTGTACATCTATATCACATTTTCCTTATCTATTCATCTATTGATAGACACATAGGTGGCTTCCATGTCTTGGCTGTTGTAAATAATGCTGCAATAAACATAAGGGGGCATGTATCTTATTGAGTTAGTGTTTTCATTTTCCCTGTGTAAATACCCAATAGTGGAATTATTGGGTCTTGTGGTATTTCTAACTTTTTGAGGAACCCCCATAATGTTTCCCACAGTGGCTGCATTCCCACCAACAATGTACAAGGGTTCTTTTTTCTCCATACCCTTGTCAACACTTCTTGTTTCTTGTCTTCTTGATTTTAGCCATTCTGACAGGCATGAGGTAGTATCTCATTGTGGTTTTGAATTGCATTTTCCTGATGATGAGTGATGCTGAGCCTCTTTTCAGGTGTCCATTGGTCAGTTGGATGTCTTCTTTGGAGAAATGTCTATTCAGGCCCTCTGCCCATTCTTAAATTGGATGATTGCATTCTTCCCAGTGACCCTTGTTACTAGTATCTGTTTTCGGGTGCCAACCAAGATGTATGGTCCGTCCTTCATAGTCTTCCCCCAGCCCACCAAAATACTCATTCTGCAATCCACATAATTAGAGTTGTGCTCTACTTGTCCCAGAGAGATCAGCTATTAACTATTTTATGCCAAACAACCATTGAGAGATATTGTCTTGTAAGCAAAAATTACTTGAGAATGCTTCATGATGAATTAGGATCAATAAAAGAACTAAATGGGGGCACCTGGGTGGCTCAGTTGGTTAAGCATCTGCCTTCGGCTCAAGTTCCTGGGATCGAGCCCCACAGTGGGATCCCAGCTCACTGGGGAATCTGCTTCTCCCTCTCCTTCTACTGCTCCCCCTGCTTTTGCTTTCTCTGTCAACTAAATAAATAAAATCTTAAAAAAAAATAAAATAAAAGAACAAAATGTATTCTCCATGTTCTATATTATCAGCTCCATGAAGCCAAGTGTTCATCTTCTCACTATCTGCTTTTCCTAACAACACCTGATAAGCATTTTACTTCAGTAATTTAAAAAAAATTTAATGGCTATAAGAATGACTGAAGTATGCAAGCTCAAGGAATGGGACTCTGTGAATGGTGGAGGTGGTAATGATGTTAATGATTAGATGGCAATAAAATAAAGAAAAAGTCAGTTGATAAGGAAGATTATATACATATATGTCTTCAGTCCAGGTCTCTTTTTCTTAATTTCACACCTATAGACATAGCCTGCAGGTATTTCTTCTTTTTTTACTGAGGTATAATTGACCTATAACATTCTATTAGTTTCAGATGTACAACATAATGATTATTTGTGTCCAGTGCAAAGTGATCATCACAATAAGCCTAGTTAACATCTGTCATCATACAAAGCTACAAACTTTTTTCTTATAAGCTTTTTTTCTTATGATAAGAACTTTTGAGATCTACTCTCTCAGCAACTTCCAAATATGGAATACAGTATTATTAACTAGAGTCACCATGCTGTACAAGACATCTACACATTATCTATCTTATAATTAGAAGTTTGTACCTCTGGCCCCCTTCATTCATTTCACCTGTCCACCCCTGACCCCCACCACCAATCTGTTCTCTGTATCCATGAGCTCAGTGTTTTCTTTTTTTAAATATTCCTACTTTTGATGAACTTCAGAATATTAGATTCTACATAGCTTACACTAAAATCCTATTTATGACTTTACTTGCACACGTACTTATGTTTATTTTTTCAACTTATTTAGCAAATATTTATTGGATAGCTACCAAACTCCATGGACTATTATAGAATTTGAGATACATGAGTAAACAAAATAGACAAAAATCTCTGCCTTTGCAGGATTTGCATTCTATCAAAAACTACATAAAATAAACACTACACCTAATAACTTAAAAAATATACAAGAAGGTGATCATTATATAACAAAATGATTTGGAGAATTTGGGAATGCTGAGGGGGAGTGTCAATAGGAAATGGCATGGTCAGGGTAAGCCTCATGTAGAAGGTGAGATTTGAGCAAAGGTCTTGAAGGAGTTGCATGCGCATTAACCGAGAGCACATCTGAGGGAACAACGCTAGTCAGAGGTTAGAGGCAGAGTAGTTGCTGAGAGTCAAAAGTATGAATGAACAGCTTTGAGGAACAAGACAGGTGTGGACGGCTGGAACGGAGCCCGAGAGGGTGTTCCAGTCAAGGTGGTCTATGTTGTGCTGAGATGATAAACAAACCAAAATCCCAGTAACTTAACACAACAGAAGTTTACTTCTCTTTAGTACTCGGTATCCAGTGAAGGCCTTTATGGGAGCTGTTTATCAAAGTCACTCTGGGACAAAACAGAGCAGAGATTTCATGCTGAGTTGTGCTTTCATGATCAGCCCCGCAGTGGGGATCTGTTCCCGGGGTTTTAGTGCTTCTTCCTAGAAGGGACAAATGATACTTCTGCTCACATTTGTCTGACCAAATCAAGTCACT